AAAGTCTTGGATCGTTTATTCATTCGAAAGAATTATAAGAGTGCAGTAGTTTGTTCTAACAACCAGATTTTGTGCAAAGAAATTTGTTGTAGTTACATTTTTCGTTTGATAAAAAATTAAACTGTAAGTATAAAATGAATTTTTGTAATTATATATACTATTTTTAATGTCATAATATATTTAAAAAAATAAGAATTTTATATTATCAATTTAATTGAACTAAAAAGTTTTTTATCTTTGCAAATTTATTGGAATTCATATTATATAAATTTACATTATAACATTTTATTGTCTTAATTTACAAAGAATATTATAATAAAATGTTAATTATTTCAGATTTTATATCCACTAGCGATTACTTGCTGTTTCAATTGCATTTCGACGGAACTGAAAACTTATACTGTAACAAATACTTGTTGCATCAATTGCATTTTGAGGAATATATAAATAATGTAAGTTCTTTAAATTGTTATTTTAATATTATAAGTTGATTATTAACCAACAGTAAAATTAAATTTTTTTACTAATAATTTATTTGACGTAAAAAGTTATTTTTCTATAAATAAAAATTCGTTTTATCATAATTATTGAATAACGGTAAACAAGTCTAGATATTTTTTTCTAAATAAAGTTATTATTATTTTATTTTAGTTATCATGCCGCAAAATCCTTTTGTACCATTCGATTTTCTACCAGAACCTACTATTGAACTTTTAGTCGAAAGTGAATCTCGAAATTATCGGAATATATGCAAATACCCTGATATGTTTAGAATTGATATATTAGAAAAATTTAGGATAATACATAACCTCAAAAGAGGTTATCCTGTTTTAGTTTTTTACAGTGAAATAGACAACATCATTAGTTGCGGAAATTTCCAATGTAACAATATCCTTTTTTATAATCGTGATTATTTTAAAGTTGAAGAATTTATATTAATTCAACATGCTAGGGATGTGCAAGAATTAGCTAAAACAATATTATGTTCCGAATGTAATATTCGCTGTACATACCTTATGATTGATGTTAACTATTTTGAAAATCTTACCACATATAAAATTAATTTACAACAAATTAAAAATACAAGAGTAAATAATATTGATATAAGATCTTTAGTTCAACATTTTTAGTTATGAAAAAAATAATAAAATATCGAAATATGTTTTGTATGTATTTAAATAGAATTTTTACTCTGTTAAATAAAAAATTTTTTTTAGTAAAATGGATGTTGTAAAAAAACTTAAATCACAAGCTAAAAATGAATATGTCTCTATGTCATCATTACAATTGGATCGTCCATATCCAGTAACACAGCTGAGAGCTGTTGAAACCAGATATGGACACACCATAATTGCACGATTGGAAAATGGTTGCCAGTTATGTCTACCAAAATCTATATTTCTTTCCGATGAAGAAATAGAGCATTTTAATAGCAGTGAAAAAAAATTATGTTTAATATATCATGGAAAACGTGGTAAAGCATATAACTTTTCTTTTATATAATTCAAAAAATAATAAAACGTTCATAATTTTTTTACAAACAATTAACAATAATTTACGAAAAACTTATAATTTATAATTAATTAATTATAGTCTATAATCTGATATTAAATTTTATGTTATAACTTTATTTTACTAACATAAAATTGTATTGTAATTGATTGAAATAAAATTTTCCTAATAACAAATTATCATTTTGTTGATATTTTCACATTGTAAGTTTAAAACTTTATTAATAATTTATATTTATATTTTTAAATTTTAATTTATAAATAATAAATCGTACATATAAATATATACTAGGGTGGTCTTTAGTTATACTAGACAAAAAAAAAGTTAAATTATTTTCAATGTCTCACCCCTCCCATATTGTTCAATATGATGAGAAAGTAATTTGGGTAAAATTTTATCATGATAAACCACCCCCTTCACGTGCCTGTAAAGGGTTACAAATTGACAAAAAGGGTAGTTTTTTAGTTTTTTTTAATTAACTTCAAACCTGATGACTGTAGCGTAAAAATGTATACCAACTTAATTATTGTTCATTAAATTTTGCATAAAAAATATAATAATCAAATTTTCCGTAAGTTCATTATTTCCCGAAAAAAATTAATAAAACTGTAAAAAAAAATTTTTCTCCCAAAATAAATTTTTTTATGGTTATTTAATTATTTAGAACAAATTATTAGAGATACGATAAAATGTTTCATATGAAAGTTGTACGAAATTTAATTTCCTTAAAAAAATAATTTTAATTTAAGTGTATTGGCCATTATGATAAAACAAGTTGTCAATAATCTCCAAATAAAATAGGACGATACCTTGTTATCGAAATCTATTTATACCAATATGCTAGATGTGAAGTGGGAAATTACTTTTATGGCTTATGCTATTGATTACATCACAGTTGTCAGTTACATTTCAATTATATACACTATTTTTTAAATTTTATACATGTATTTATGTATGCTTAATTAATTTCTTCCATTCTTAATAATGGCTACAAAACTTAGAATAAATATTTATTTAGTGGGGAATGAATCAAATCAAATAACTGGTGGTAAATTGCCATCTAATAGACAAGTATTTTTAGTTTTCTTTTATAATTTACGTGTTGTGAAATTAAATATGCGTCAAAGTGCACATTTGGCTATAAAAGAAACAATAATTTTTTGGGTAAAAGCAAGAATTCCTGTAAGGGACACTCAACATTGTGTAGCCAAATTAGAAAATTTTTATCAAAAATGGAGATCAGTTCAAAAAAATCGTAAATCTAGAACAAAATGGCAAGTTAGTTTAGAGAATCAGTTTTCAGAAACTTTGGACGATTTATTTGATATAGCACATGCAGATGCTCTTAATATAATAAGTAATTATTACTCTTAACTTTTATACATTTTAATACAAAGTGAAGTCAATTTAGAATGTTATCGAAAAAAGTCGATAATTTAATTTTAATGAGGGCCATTTTTACTTTATACAATTCATTGTAGAATTAGACATTAAGTGAAAATTANTGGAATACAATGAATTAGACATTAAGTGAAAATTAGAGATTTTTAATAAACTTTGCTAGTCGTCTAACGTGTTTTAAATATTTTCATAAAAAATGTCCCGAAAAACAAAAAATATTCTCTATTATTAATTTTATATTTAACATGCAATAATAATTAAATTTTTACCGCTCTAATATTTATAATAATTTTTATCTATTTTTGTGTCGTAATAAAGTAACAATGGTTCTCATTAAAATTTCGGTGATCAACTATTTTTGATTCATCCTAACCCCTATATTTAAACACATACATTAAAATAAATATTAACATTTTAAACGCGGTAGATAAACATTTTAAATGTGTGATGGTGTCACGTTTTCATAATCGTGAGAATTATTTTAATAAAATACAGACAGCACATCCGCTGCCTGAGACTGGTGAATTAACAAATAATATTTATTGCCAAATCGGCAATAGGTGTAATTATTATAAAAACCCAATAGACCTGACCATCGTCGTCAGTCGACTCCAGTGCCTTGTGTCATTCATCAGTCTCAGTACTCGGTTGTCGCTGTCCGGCTTACTGTTTAAAGTAAAGTCTTTGTTTATTCCTTTTCTAACCTATATACTCTTTTCCTCGACATTTCAAAGTACTTGTGTCTTGCACTTCGTCTGCACCTCGTACTTCATTATCCTCTCCTAATAACTAAAGTACTTGTGTCTTGCACTTCGTCTGCACCTCGTACTTCATTGTCCTCTCCTATACCCCAAGTATTTGTGTTTTGCACTTCGTCTGCACCTCATACTTTGGGCTCTTTTTGCGTACACCTGGTATTTGTGTCTTGCACTTCGTCTGCACCTCATACCTAGGTGTTACTCTTATTCTCCCTTCCTATAACAACAGCCTTTCGACACCCACAGCTAACCCGGAGTGTCAGCCGAGCACGGTGACTGCTGTACGACAACACGCACGTGAATACCTAGACAGCAGGCACCACCTCCTCATATTCATCTTCGTACACACATAGTTACACATTCACACTTACACTTAGTTTTTCTCTTTCCTGTGTTACGACAAATGAAACACCGTTGAATAATAAATTTTTTAAAAATTAAAAAAAAATTTTTTTAGAAATTCAGGAAGATAAAAAATTTTTACTAGCTCAAAGACAGAAAGGGCGAGTAGGCTATATGGCTGGAGTTGATGAAAAATTAGTATAAATTGAAAAAAGAAAAGCTAATCGTTCACATGACGAGATTGAACAAATTTGTAAGTTAATATTTTATTGAGAACTATGAAATTTGTATTAATTTATAATATTTTTAGATAACAAAATTGAGTTCATTTCTACATCTTCATTAAATGAAAATGAATCTGATATAGAGCTTGACGAAAAGCTTTGTGGTCCATCAACAAGTTCGGCTATTGTTATAAGTGGTCGAGGGAAAATTGATTTTATAACAGACCGACTTGTTGCGGTTCTTGATCGTTGCAAAATTAGCGACAGAGATGCTGTTTNGCGGTTCTTGATCATTGCAAGATTAGCGACAGAGATGCTGTTCATCTTTTAATAGCTGTCGCAGAAGCATTAGGTCATGATGTGCATAATCTTATAATTAATCGTACCTCAATTAAGAATCGTCGTCAAAATATACGACAGAACGTAGCTGAACATATAAAAAAAAATTTTAATACTGAATCAAATGCAGTCATTATTCATTGGGATGGTAAGTTATTACCCTTAAGCAATTTAATGCGTCAAGAGAGACTTCCAGTTGTTGTGACTTTTGATAGAACTGAACAGCTTCTTGGAGTTCCAAAACTAAATTCTGGAACTGGTGAACAAATTGCAGCATCTGTCTATCAACTACTTCTCGAGTGGAACCTTACTGAAAAAGTGAATGCTCTTTGTTGTGATACCACCGCATCAAATATGGGATTCAATATTTGAATTAAAAATGAAACATCATTCATCGGGGCCCGAAATACAATTATTCAAACGATTTCAAATTGAGTGGAATAAAATGGATTTAACCAACTTCTCTTGTGGAGTTGAAGACGACGAGGTAAAAATTATATTAAATGATGTAATTAGCAATATAAAAACGTTTTGCTCTCATGAATTAGAACAGAATTATAGTAGAGATGACTACAAGGAATTTTTAGAGCTTGCATTAATTTTTCTGGGAGGAGACGAGCATAGGAAAATAAAATTCAAAACTCCTGGTGCTATACATCATGCAAGGTGGTTGGCAAAGGCCTTATACTCCTTCAAAATTTATTTATTTCGCAAACAATTTAAATTAACAAAAAATGAAGAAAAAGGATTACGAGATATATGTATATTTCTTATCCGCTTATACAAAAAAAGCTTGGTTTACAGCACCTTTAGCAATAAAAGCGCCCTACCAAGATTTTAATTTTTTGAAAAATCTGTCATCATATTATGATAATGAAGTGGCCCAAACTGCATTAAAAAAAATATGTGGTCATCTGTGATACTTAAACGAAGAAACTCTAGCAATGACATTTTTTGACAATAAAGTGCCGAATTATTTGAAAAAAAAAATGTCAACATCTCTAACAGCAAAAAAAAATAGTAATGTGAAAATAAAACAATTACCACTTAAACCAGAAGATATAAAAAATTTAATTTCAAAAGATTTAAGTTTTTTAGTATCGACTAACACTAACAAGTTTTTTGAACGATTTAATATTGATAAACAGTTCTTGACATACAGTCCAGAAACATGGTCAACTTATGATACTTACAATAAGGGCTTAGAAATAGTTAAAAATATTAGAGTTGTAAATGATACAGCAGAGAGAGGTGTCAAACTTAANAACACAGCTGAGAGCTGTTGAAACCAGATATGGACACACCATAATTGCACGATTGGAAAATGGTTGCCAGTTATGTCTACCAAAATCTATATTTCTTTCCGATGAAGAAATAGAGCATTTTAATAGCAGTGAAAAAAAATTATGTTTAATATATCATGGAAAACGTGGTAAAGCATATAACTTTTCTTTTATATAATTCAAAAAATAATAAAACGTTCATAATTTTTTTACAAACAATTAACAATAATTTACGAAAAACTTATAATTTATAATTAATTAATTATAGTCTATAATCTGATATTTATGTTATAACTTTATTTTACTAACATAAAATTGTATTGTAATTGATTGAAATAAAATTTTCCTAATAACAAATTATCATTTTGTTGATATTTTCACATTGTAAGTTTAAAACTTTATTAATAATTTATATTTATATTTTTAAATTTAAATTTATAAATAATAAATCGTACATATAAATATATACATATAGATAATCAAAAAATAAATCTATTTAATTTATGTGGAGAGATTAATATCGGTATAATCATTAGTATTAATATATTAGTTATAGGACAATGAATGAAAAAAAACTATTTTTATAATTCTAAAATGATATCTTATACATGTAATTGATTATATCATTAGCACTATTTTCNGATATCTTATACATGTAATTGATTTTATCATTAGCACTATTTTGCTTATAGAAAATTAATTTGTTGAAGGTTTAATTATTATTTAAAGAGAAATTTACTTTTTACGCCAAATAAAAATTATTCATAATATAATATATCAAATGATATAAAAATTGGTATGCAAATCTATATACATTTTTTTCAATATTTTGTTGTATAAATGGTATTATCTAATTTTGTTGATATTTTCACATTGTAAGGTTAAAATTTTGTTACAAATTTAAATATATATATATAGTAAAAAAAATCTATTTAATTTATGTGGAGAGAATTATGTTGGTATAATCATTAGTATTAATATATTAGCTAAAGGAAAATGAATAAAAAAAACTATTTTTATAATTTTAAAATAACTGTCTACACATATAATTGATTATTTCATTAGTACTACTTTGCTTGTAGAAAATTAATTTGTTGAAGGTTTAACTATTATTTAAAGAGAAATGTACTTTTTAAAAAAATAAAAATTATTCATAATATAATATAATATAATAAATGATATTTAAAAAAACTGTGGAATGCTACTCTATATACTTTTTTTCATTATTTAGTTGTATAAATGTTATAATCTGATTTTGTAGATATTTTCACATTGTAAGCTTAAAACTTTGTTACAAATTTAAATATATATATATATATATAATAATAAAAATAAATCTATTTAATTTATGTGGAGAGATTATAAAGTATAAAAGAAAAAAAAGGTTTTGGTACAATCATTAGTATTAATATAATAGCTACAGGAAAATGAATAAAAAAACTATTTTTATAATTTTAAAATTATAAAATAAACTTAAAAAATATACTTTTTACGTCAAATAAAAAAAATTTCATAGTATAACATAATAAATGATATTTAAAAAACTATGAAATGTTACTCTATATACTTTTTTCATTATTTAGTTGTATAAATGATGATGTCTGATACAGTTTGTGGTTGTGGTGCAATATTCCGGGACATCGATAGTCTTCAAAAACATTGCAACAATAATTTGAATCATAGACCAACAATTTATTGCACTGTAGGAAAACCTAAAAAAAACTGTTTTCCAACACATAGTTCGGACTCAAATATGGTAAAAGTTACAAAAAAACAGTGTATGGGCTTAGTAGGATCAGGATTCAAAAAAATTAATTCGGCCTTAAAAGGTGGTGTAAGAAATTTTTTTTTGAAAAATAATACAATTGTTGATGACATTGTCGATTTCATGGTTGAAATAAATCACGAAATAATAAATTTATTAAAAATGTTAACTGTAAAGGGTATGGTAAAATTCAATGTTTTACTACATACAACGTACTTTCATACTGTAACTGGTGAGTTCAAAGATGTATCATTCAAGTCGCGCAATAAAACAGTAGACTTAGGAACCGATTTTACATCAGTAATGGAAAAAATAACATTAAAGTTGGAAACTGAAAAACAAGAAATGGAAATCAAGCAAAGTGGATGGTCGCTAATATCAATTGATGGTATTTTGTTGAGAGTACATAAATTGAACCCACTGAAGGGATCATCGTATATTGAATTACCATCGTGTATAAAAAACAAAAAGGCTGTTGTAAATATTAAAAACGATGATCAACAATGTTTCAAATGGTCAATCTTATGTCATTACAATAAAAGAGTTAAAAGAAGTGATTGGAATGTTGCATATATTGAATTAGAACAATGTTTGAACATAGATTTTTTTGGTATTGATTTTCCAACACCAATTGAACAAATTAATCGCTTCGAACGAAAAAATCCTACAATATCGGTAAATGTGTATGCGTTGGACAATAAAAACATTGTTTTTCCATTGCGTGTAACTAAATCCAAAACCGCTACAGATCATATTGATTTACTATACTTGAAAAATAATGAAACTAACCACTATTGTTACATCTCAAAATTTTCAAGGCTTGTATCAAAACAACGCTCAAAAAGTAAACGACAAGAATATCATTGTAAACGATGTCTCAGCGTATTTAACGAGCAACCGTTATTAACTCGTGCGAGTGGGAAAGAGGGACTTAAAGAACATGTAAAAATGTGTGGAAAATTCAAGGAGGCTCGCATTGTTCTACCACAGCCTAACTCTGATCTTTCAATATTATGTTTTAAAAACACAAGACGAGAAGAAGCAATACCGTTAGTTATCTACGCTGATATGGAAAGTTTACTTGTTCGAACGATGGAACAAATATCGGACAAGTCTATGATTGTACAAAAACATAAACCAATGAGTTATTGTTTTTACTTAGTACGCAACTCCAAAATATTACCGCAAAACATGTGTCAGGGATTACCGGAGGAACCAGTAATGTATCGAGGACCTGATGCTGCTAAACATTTTGTATCAGCGTTGGTGGATATTGGAAAACAAGTATCAGATATCATGAAAATTAACATCGAGATGAATCCTCTAACTTCTGAGGAACAACATCGTTTCAATACCACAAAACATTGCGACTCGTGTTTAATAGAGTTTACCGATAAGTTAGTAAAAGTCAAGGATCATAATCATTGGACGGCAAAATTTCGAGCTGTTTTATGCCACAAATGTAATTTACAACGACGATATTCCGCATTCATACCAGTTATCATGCATGGTCTTTCAAACTATGACTCGCACATGATAATACCAGAAATGGCTTACGACAATAAAGACATTACTGTTATAGCACAATCCGAAGAAAAATATATTTCGTTCAGTAAGACAATAAGCGATTATTTTCAACTTCGATTTATAGATTCATATCGATTTTTGCAAGCGAGTTTGTATCAACTTACAACCACCTTGACTTTACCTGATTTTGCACATACATTAAATGTCTTTAAATCGTTGGAGTTGGTCACACGGAAATCGGTTTTCCCATACGAATACGTAGACAGTTGGGAAAAACTCGACGAAAATCAGTTGCCAACCCGCGAAAATTTTTACAGTTCCATTACGAAAAATACAGTATCCGAAGAGGACTATGAACATGCAAAAAAAATGTGGCAACACTTTGAATGCAAAACTATTGGTGATTATAGTGACAAGTATTTACTTGTCGACGTTATGGTATGTTGTTAATTTTTTTAGTAATTAACAATTATAAATACATTTATTTTTTAGGTACTTGCTGACATATTTGAAAAGTTTCGCGCGGAGAGTTTAAAAAATTATTCTCTGGATCCCACTCATTATTACTCATGTCCAGCCCTATCATTTGATGCTATGTTAAAATATACTGATGTCAACATTGAATTGATAACAGACCCAGATATGTTATTAATGTTTGAATTGGGTATACGTGGAGGTTTGACACAAGTATGTGTGATTATTAAAAATATAAAAATATGTTTAATAATATTTATAAATATATACATATTTATATATATATATATTTAATATAGGTCAATCAGCGGTATGCTCGAGCAAATCATCCAGGTATCTCTGACTACAATCCCAATATTCCACATAAATATCTTCAATACCTAGATGCTACAAATTTATATGGAACAGGTAGTTTTTTTTTTAAAATAAAAAAAATTAATATTTGTGTAAAAAAACATTTGTTTTTTTAAGCAATGATGGAACCGATGCCACTTGGTAATTTTGAATGGTCAACTGTTACATTGGAGGAAATACTTGACACAGCTGAGGATGCTGATCATGGATATCTTGTGCAAGTCGATGTAGATTATCCACAACATTTACATGATTTACACAACGATTTACCATTTTTTCCGGTAAACGAGCGACCACCTCTACCGTCTGCCAAATACAAAAAACTGATGACCACATTGTTTCCAAAACGTAATTACGTTGTACACTATCGAACATTAAAGCAAGCGGTAAAACACGGTGTGGTTATCACAAAACTGCATAAAGTCATAAAGTTTAAACAATCTCGATGGTTGGCACCCTACATCCAAATGAATACAGAATTACGTAAAAAAGCCTCCAACAAGTTTGAACAAGATCTACCAAAATATATGATCAACTCCAACTATGGTATTACTAATATTTTTATACGTTTAATTTTTTTAATAATAAAAATTTTTAATTTTACTAGGTAAAACATTGGAAAACGTGAGAAAACATCAAAGTATTCAACTCGTTTGTAACGAAGATAAATTATCAAAACTGGTAGCGAAACCGTCGTTTGGTCACACCACAATATTTAATGAAAACCTTGTAGCTGTACACATGTATAAAGAAAAAATTAATTTTTTTAAACCCATTTTTATTGGACAGGCCGTGTTGGATATTAGTAAATGTATCATGTACAAGTTTCATTATGATATAATGCAACCATTTTATGGTCCTGAAAGACTTAGACTCGTGTATATGGATACAGACAGTTTTATTTATTTAATATTAACGCATAGTTTTCAGGATGATTTGAAAAAATATCTGTTTGAATACTTCGACACTTCCAACTATCCCACTGATTATCCATGTTACAGTGATAAACGTAAAAAACAACCGGGTACATTTACCGACGAATGTAAAGGTATGCATATGGAGAAAATTGTTGCACTCTTGCCCAAAGTCTATGCGTACCTGATTGCCTACAAAAATTATAAAAACGTTTTGCGGCAAGAAGAAGTGAAGCGATTGAAGGGTATTAGTATGGGTGTAGTGAAACATGAAATAAATATGGTTGACTATTTAAATTGTTTGCGAAATAAACTAAAACAAATTCACAAGAAAATTTCCATCATACGTTCAAAACATCACAATGTTTTGACGGTAGAAACGAGGAAACTCGCATTGTCCAACAACTATGACAAGCGTGCAATAGTCGGTGATGAGTTTGAGTATAAAAATGTATATACAAAAGCGTGGGGACATTATTCTTTAAATACATAACAATTTATTTTGTATAAAATATATTATTGTATTTAGTATTTTATTAACAATATATGTCAATTTATTATATAATCTTTAATTTATAATTTATTTATGAAAAATATACTTATTGTAGAAATAAAAATGAATATTATAAAGTATTCGTGTTTATATATATATATTTTTTAATATAATAGCATTACATGTTATAATTCATCCATTGTTTTAAACATATAGTCTTATATAAACTGCACATATTTGGGTTGTTCATGTGTCGGATACAACATGGTTTTGTAATACAACTTAAATTGTACAGAGGAGGACAGTCCAAATCCTCTACGTTGACTATACGTTGTCCTGGTATGTACTTTTCCACTACTTGCTTTTTTACAGCTCCCTTCACGTAAATGGTTTCGCATCGCAAGAGTTTCATTATTCTCGGCAACTCATTGTATTCCACATCCCCGCAACGTGTATCCATTCCATGTAGGTATTTTTTCAACCAAAAGTTTGTTTTAGCATCCTCCTTGATACTTTTTGGATGTTTGAACATCCAATGGGCGAAAGAAGTGCAGTCTATGGCAATAGCAGTCAGTTCCTTGACCAAAAACGATCGGTCAGCTGCTACAATACCTTGTATATCGACAATCATTGAGGTAAGATATTGGTTTTCGGTATCCATGAATTGTGTTCTGGGCCAAATCCTAACCATTTAACGTAACACTGATCTCCTTGTGTTCGCAACACTCGTTCGACTAAATACATGTCCGGATAACTGGTCTTGTTCAGCTCTTCGGTGTAAAACACACCACGTATTGGATTTCCCTGATAGTCTTCTAGATAGTAAGTTGGTGGTACTGATTGTCTAACCTTGACTATGGTAAATAGTTCGGTGCTCCAGTTCGGCAAATAACCCTTGTCAAACACTGATTTATGTACACTAATCCGAACTTTGTCACCCACGTGGAATTTTATCGGTAAATTATCGGGTATTTTGCGTAACTTGAGTCGAACCAGGTCGGGGTTTTGCACAGCTTGCACCGGTATCATTCCGATTGTTCTATGTTTACGCACGTTATTGTATTCGTGCAACAGCGTAGGCAACCGATTCACCCACTTGTACGAACCACGTGCACTAAAATCGCACCACATTGCGTTTTTCAACGTGCGGTTAAAACGTTCCACGAGACAGGCTTTCATAGTGGAATAAGTTGAATAGTGATTGATTGCATATTGTGACATCAGTTTTTGAAACTGTTTGTTGTAGAATTCTTTACCATTGTCCGTTTGCAAAAGTTTAGGATGACGACCTTGTTTTAATATTCCATTCATGGCAGCAGTAACTTCTTTGGCTGTTTTATTTTTCAACGGAATGGCCCACGCATATTTTGAAAATCCATCGATGCACGTTAAAATATACCGATGATGTCGATCGGGGTATACGCGCATTTCCACGAGGTCAGCATGCCAAACATCATCGAGACCTTTGATATTTATTCGAGCACGGGTGTACGTCCTACGGGCCTGCTGATGTAGTTCATAGGCAATGTTCTTATTCATAATGTTGATGGTATTTGTTCAATGTAACCGGTTTCCTGCAACTCTTCCAATATAGAAATGATTTCCGGTGCAACTCCAGTGTTACCAGCTGACCGGGCCGATATCAATAAACGTAAACGATCTACGAGCTCGTTGGGTTCGTCCCAGTACACATACTCTTTTTTCTTGTTGTTCAACCTTAACTGTAGACCCGCACCGATAATAGATGTGTCACTGATGCTGCTGTTTTCAAATAATGGTAAGGAATTGTTTGCGCTACCACCATCATTGTTTTCAAACAATGGTTTAATAGTGTTAACATATTTTTGACCTCCTTTTTTTAATGTTCCGTCTTTATTCAAATGTACACCGGTTTCGAGTAAAATTGTTTTGTATGCCTGCAAATCCGATTCGGAGTAAACACCGGGATTTTTCGAAAAAAGTAAATCCACNGCCTGCAAATCCGATTCGGAGTAAACACCGGGATTTTTCGAAAAAAGTAAGTCCACAAGACCTAATGTCAGCAGGAATTTTTTCTCCAGTACGTTGATTATTCCTCCATTGACAAAGATATTGTCGACTCCACCTATTGTCAATGTTCCTTCTGGTGTCACTTTTGGTCCATACATTTTGTCTCTGTTCGGGTTCATTGACCATTGGTGCATGTACTGATGGAAAAACCCATCATCATGTTCCATATTGTATCTATCATCATTTAAACTTTTGATGGATTGCTGTAGTTGTTGTTCATGTTGTTGTTGCTGCTGCTGTTGCTGTTGCTGTTGCTGTGTCACGATTTTATCCAATGGTGCAATGATTGGTGCCAATTCTCGTTTTACGCGACTCAATGAATCCGCTTCACCACGATGCAATTCCGTGTACTTTTTTCGAACATTTTCCCGGGCTTCCGTCAATAATTTCAACAACGTTTTTTTTTCTTCACGAATTCTATTATTAATAGTACTCATATCGTCACAAATGTGTCAAACTTGTATCTATACCGGCCACCGTCACGCGCGAAGTCTAAACAAATCACTGCAAATCCATACCGGTCTTTGTTCCAACAATGTTTGCAAAAATCTTTGAATTCGCCGAATTTCATATCGCAACACACGTATTCATCGTACGCGTGCCGTAGATTAACTTCATCCTGTCGGAACACCCGCAATCAATCGGTGGAATGCTGGGATTCCGACCTCATGTATTGGGACCGAAAATGGAACACATGTCGGATTTCCCGTTATCTATTACAAAGGTGACATGCATACGAGTTGACTGCAATATAATTGTTGGCTCGTACCACGAAGGACGTCAATCGCATACATTGCATGAATTCTTTCCAAACGTACCACCGGGTTACCATATTATCGAATGTCCCAGACAAGTCGTTTACTATCCATTAAACACAAACGTATTGAATACGATTCGAATCACATTGCTCGATCAAGACGGTCAACGTGTCAACTTAAGAGGTGAAAAATTAACAGTACGTCTACACATCAAACAAGATGGATGAAAGTACGATGACGTTATGGGACCGTATAAAACAAATTGATTCCTCACATATTGGATTATTTTTGTGCATACTAGTCACAGTCGTGCAACTATTACTGCTCCTTCAAACATCCGACAATAGCTGTCAGCTGATAAACAGTGACAATAACAACAACAACAACAACAGTTCAGCTACAATTTATCGTTTGGAAGCACTGGCTCGAGAACTTTATTCAGTCGATGACCGTGTCTTTATATTGGAAAAACGTGTTGACACTCTTTAAATGCCTCTGAGTTTCAACAAGAGTGTAGTGCACCATCATTTGGGTGATGGCATATACTCTACGACGGAGCAACGGAACAATCGTGTGACGCTATCGCAGCAGCAACAACTCACAAAGGAAAATATTGAATTTTTAAAATCATTAGGTTGTCGAGTCAATCATGGCCGAGTACTTACACGTGTTGGAAAAATGTCAACAAGACGACAGCGTAAAACGTGAATACTATCTAGAACATCAGAGCTACAACAACTCGTACGAACACAACGATGAAATCCGCATCGAGGTACGTAACAAGGAGAAATTCACCGTACCGTGCGAAAGTTATTTGCAAATCGAAGGAAAACTGGAAAAACCACCAGTTGGAACAGTTGGTGAAATGGTTATGGGGCAAAATTTTCTCATGCACTTATTCGACGAAATCAGATTTGAGGTAAATGGTAAAGAAGTGGACAAGATAAAATATGTCGGAGTGGCTACAACCATCAAGGGTTATTGTTCGCTCACACCCAACGACATTCGACGATTGCAACCTGCCGGATGGAAATATGCGCAAATCTTGCACAACAACGATTTCATCGATGGGACTGATTTTGTGGCGCAATGTCCATTGTCTATGTGCATGGGATTTTTCGAACGATACCGACGAACACTGATAAACTGTACTCAGACACTTGTGTTGAATAGATCGAGTACCGATAGCACTGTTGTAACATTTGTTCCACAGACAACAACAACAGACGATAAAGCGCAAGTTGCATCATTGATAAAACAAATCAATGTGAAAATATCGAAAATCAAATGGGTGGTAAAGTACTTTGAACCCAGCGTGAAAACCGAACTGGGTCTTATGCGTATTCTGGACAGCAAGAAATGGCTCCCGTTAGAATTTCAACACTGGGATGTTGCCGTTTACCCATTGGTACCGCAGACAACTCATCACACGTGGTCGGTGCGCACCTATTCGAATGTGGAAAAACCCAGATATCTACTTATTGCCATGGGTAATGAGAACGAACACGTTCTTGGAGATTTCGATCACTGTTCATTGAGAAACGTCAAAGCGTATCTGAATGCGGACGAATACCCATACGAGAACCAAAACGCCGATTTCGACAACAACAAGTATACAACCTTCTACAACTCGTACACTCAATTCCAAACAATGTACTACGGTCGTAAAGATCCGTACCCTCTACTAGATTATATAAATTACAAAAAACGTGGACCCATAGTTGTGATCGATTGTTCTAAACAAAACGATACCGTCAAGACTTCAACGGTTGATCTACGTTTGGATTTCGAATGCTCTAAACAGTTTCCCGATAAAACATCATTGTATTGTGTAATTATTCACGATTGTCAAATGGAATACAACGCATTTACGGGTGAAGTACGAAAACTCTAATGTATATACAAATATATTTTTATTATTGTATAATTTACAGTATAGTATAGAAACAAAAAAATGTATAAATATATAATTTTTATTAATAAAAACATAGTTATTTTGCAAACTTGTTGTTTTTTATGTTATTTTATTTCGATTATCCTTGAATTTGACTGGAAAAGTCACACATAGGAGGTCTTTCTTGTCAATTTTCGGCAAAGCATCTATACCTAAAAATGATCTATTTGTAGCCAATTCTACCAGATCGGAAAAGTAATACAAGTGCTGAAATTTTTATAAGTATTAGAGTTAAGATGAAAAAATCAAATATTTTTTAACATACTTTCATGTGTGGATAATTGAAAATAGTTTTCGAGAT